GAAAGAGTTGAGTGGCTGAGGGTATAGGAAGAGAGGAAAGAATTTCAGAACTTGAGAAGATTTTGGGAAGCAAAGAAGTCACTTGTGGATTTGTGGGCTGAAGGAGGGATGAAAAGGAGTCCAACTGCAGAAGAGCCAGATCATCTGTTTCATGATAGATACACATATACGGGAGAGAACAAAAAGCAAAGCCACTAGCAAAATATTTTATTGAGCAGTTTACATGGGAGACACCGCTGAATTCACCCCTACCTAGGTTTACCTGACAATGCTCGAGACAAGAGCATTATGTAGGGCAAACTTTAAAATTCTAAAACCAAGAAAACAGATCTGAACATCAAAAATAAAGTGGAGAGTTTCAACTTGCGCATGCACCTGCACATCAATTTAGAGGTTGCAGTAACTGATAGACAGGGCAACATGACTTGGCAATTATTTAACAGCGGCGCTTAATTTTCCATGCGAGTCCAAGGCAATACCAGTGGATTAAGGAAGCCAAGAGACTCTCTTGAGTCCACCTCAAGAGAGTGCCTGATCCAGTGAAGCATGAGAGAACAAAAGCCTCCTAGACCAAAATGAAGCAAAAGAAACAACGGATGATGAGGTACAAGGATCCTCTGAGCTTTGCGGGAGTGAGAGAAGCCTAGAATTGCACAGGACTGCTAGAGAAACAGGCTTGTTGCTCATTGCTTGCAACAGAATTTAGGAGATCCAGGTTTACCTGCTCATCAGGCCCAATGAGGGCATGAGTAGAGTCTTCACCCACAGAAGAATGCCTCAGGCTGCTCACAGAGGGGGGGCGAGCTGTGCAGTAAGATAAGGTCTCTGCAGGGAAGCTGTGAAATCCATTGGGAAATCCTGGGACAGTGTACCCCAGACCTGGAATAGAATGAAGACAGATAACCATTAGAGCATTGATTTGATACAAACTACAGAGTTGGCTGCAGTTTCACAAGGAGCTTGTCTCTTAAATGCATCCTGGAAGGCAGAATCAGCTTGTCTGGAGAAGACTCCCACTCTGTACACATACAAGTGAGGCTTATAGAACACATACAAGGGCTAGGACTCCTTGCTTAAATTCAAGCCACTCCTAACGGAGTGCAGGAATTGAGCAAACCTGAATTCTTCCAGATGTGGTCTCCTTTAGGAACCACCTGCTCCTCGTAGGTGCTATTTAAAAAGGCCGCTTGGCAGAGGTCCAGATGAAAATCAACTGAAGGCTGACAACTTGCTTAACTATTGAGGGCCTTTTTTGCCATTTCCTTGGAAACAAAATACCACATTGCAAACAAGTGGGGCCTTAAAATAAACATGCTGCATGGGATATACACGGACACAAAGACACAGGTCAGCAGAGAGCCAGTACATGGGAGAGATCCCATGGGCTGGAAAGGGCAGCTTTCGCACAAGCAATTGCAGACATTGCCCGTGTCTCTGCATTCCCCCTTTTCTCCCCAGATACCGAAGAAGCCTTACTGTTGGGTGCCTGGGGAGTCCGGGAAAGCTCCCGCTCCGTGGGGTGACTGTTCCTGGTGATGACAACGGGCTCTTCTACTACGTTGATACTGTTACATTGCATCAGGTCCTGAAGCAAATTAAAGATCTCCTCTGCTCTGGAACACTTGAACGCAAAAATCCCTGCACAGTAACGAAGAGGAGGGCCAGAAAAGCGAAAAAACAAACCTGCTTTAACAACAGTATAATTCTGGGCTGTAAATAAACAAGCAATTTTGATTTTAGCATGTCTAACGCATTTTAGCACGTCTAACGCAATCAACCCCTGCAACTCACAGCCACAGGAGAACAACTAACAACTCAGTGGATTAATGAAAGATCAGACACGTATGTAAGTCATGAGAATGTTCACCCTTTCATTGGACGGGACAAAAATTGGTTAGGAGGATGTAAAACCTCATGCTTCAAGTCATACACTGAACAGATCTTTATGAGGAGGAAAAGAGTCTCTCCTTTGTTATGCAATAACTTGGTAGAAAGTGTCTTGAATCTTTCTTTAAGGCCCACGGCACTAGCCACTATCTGAAAGAGCGCACCAGCGAGAGCGGCTGGGCCCTGGTAAGGCAGTTCCTAGACTCCTTATAAACACACTGACAATTCATAAGGCCATATTTTGTAAGCCACTTTCTATATTCAATCACATCCTGATGCAACATTTCTGCACAGCATAACCTATTGCTGCAGCAAAGCAAATACAATGCCATGACCACCATGTGAAAAAATGGTGCATCATTAGAGAAAAATAGCACCCCAATTATCTTACGATCTTATTGATCCTACGTGAGCAGAGGTGTGAAAGGGACAAGCTAACTGGTCTTGTTCCCTCTCTAATCTTCTATTTTAACTCACTTGGCACCCAGTCCAATTCCCACTGCCAGTGGAAACTCTTTCCAGTGACTGATGGGAGCTGAATGGGGCCTCGTGGACCGTGCACCTGAAGGAGGGACAAGAGCACCATATTTCAAAAAAGGTATCAAATTAAACAGTGGCTCCCCAGCTGAGCAGCCCAAACCAGAGCTGGTGTGTGCAGAGCTAACCAATCCCAAGCTGGCACGCACACACACGCACAAGAGCCATAGCAACAAGAACAGCATGGCAACAACAGCTCCTACCCCAAAGAAAAAACGTTTAAAATACTCTGGCCAAAATATAGCTGAATCTTCCTTATTTAAGATGGGGAGCTGCAGCAGAAAGGAATCCTCCAAATAAAATTAACTGAGCAGAAAAATTTCCTATGAGGAAAGCAGGATACTAATCGAAAAAGAATGGCATCCATCCGATTTTTGTCTGCGTTCAGATTGATGAGACAAAATGTCATGTGTCTTTTAGCATGTGGCTGCTAAAAGATTTTCTAATACATGAAGAGCAAATAGCTCTGCTTTATCATCACTGTCTGGATCTAAACAAAAAGAAAACAAGGCAGAATTCTAATTACTGATCTGCATCCTGCAAAGGCAAAACAGACAACGAAAGACAAGCAGTTCCCATCGCTGGCAACTGATAAGCACACGATTCCAAGAGAGGAATACCCCACTTACATAAATATTAAAAAGGAGCATACGGCATTACAGATTTGTGCAGTACTTCACACAGACACTGAACAGTCATGTGCTGCCCTTCTGGATAAGAAGGAGTTTACAAACACATTAATAGAATGAGGAAACACAAACTTTCTTTTCCTTGGTCCCATGTGCCAAAAAAACGCTCAGTTCTTTAAAAGCAAGAGACAGACTGGTAAAGGAACTAATAGGCACCACAGTAAAACTGGAGTCTGTTCCCAGCTCTGCTGATGACTTGGCACGTACTCCTGGGTGAGGCACTTCCCTTCTCTATACACAGCTTCCCCATGCATAAGATCCATAAAACATAAAATTCCTTTGCCCTCATGTTATAAATTGCTGCCAAACAGCAAATACAAAGCATTAAGTAAAACTAATACCAGCTAAGGCAGAGAGAATGCACTGAGAAATCCAAGAATGTGTTTAAACCACTATTGCTACTGATGTGTATTTGGAAGCTCCACAAAATTAGCAAATCCTAAGAGAGACCTGGAAAAGATGCAGATCATGCCCTTTCACTTTCTCCCTGGAGTTAAAAGATACTTAATAAAGCTTTAGTCTTGCAAAAAGCACTTTCTAGCTCCTAAAAGAACATTTCCAGCAACCCCTCCTACCACAGCTAAACATGGTTAGCTTCAAAGCTCAGAGCTGACAGTGTAACTGACATCCTGTCCGACACTAAATGTCTCATCCAGTTAAAACTTTAGCTCATGCCTGATTTACCAGTTAGCTTATGAGAGTCAATATACTAGGAAAATAAGACCCCCTAGACTTATGCCCATGTCCTGAGCCTCAATATTGCTAGCATTAGTGCTTTATTTGGGAGAATTAAATGTACGTGTGGGCGCATTCCAGTACTCTGGGGGAAGAGAGGCTGCAAACAAACACGTTGATTTGTTAGATGCAAGGGCCTGGGAAGACACAAGCATCAACTCACGCGAGCTGCCTGGGAATAGAAACTTCAGAGCTCCTTCCTCCAGGAAGCACAACACTCACCCTGCCCTGTCTGGCAGCGACGTCCACTCTCAAAGGAAAAGAGGTTGGAGTCATAGCCATAGCGGCGCAAGCAGAGGTAGGGCCACCTGACAGCATCTCGCTTGTGAGTGTGCAAGATGAGCTCCGTCTGCGTCAGTTCCATAATCCCAGATCCCAGCTCGTTACCTTCATCGTCCACGTTCGTTACCTGCAGAGGTGACACCGCTCGCATCAGGAAAATCCGTGCATTTGTATCCAAAAAAGTGCTACCGGTTTAGGCCCACCCACAAAGATACTGCAATTTCCACGGACGCCCCCTTCATTCACTAAGATGCATCTTTTTCTGTTGAGAGCATGAATTCATTGCAGGTGGAAGGCGCCAACTCGGCAGCCTTGGAGACTGTATACTTGGCAGTTCAGCTGATGTCTCTCAACACAGACACTGAAAGACAGCCCTGAGCAACAACAGATTTCACTCCGTTTCCTTGCTAAGGCAGAATCTCAGTGCAGAGGCATTATCTGCTGCAAATACAAACATATTTTTCAAACAATTTTTCTCAATTTAAAAAAAAAAAAATCAACAACATATTTGCAAATCTCATCACGTGAAAGGCTTCATGTGAAAGAGCAGAGGTTTTCTTTGCTTTCCTGCCTGAAGTCAAACCCAGGCCGGGGTTTTTTTGTAGTTGTTGATTCCCTTCTGAGGATGAAAGTCCAATATGTACCTTAAATTTGGTGGGATGGTTGTCTGGGACGCTATCCCTGCACAGACAACTGCAGCAGCTTCCCATGATGTCGGTATAAGAGGTAATCCCTGAGAGTGAACACAAAATAGAGGACAATCGTACCTTCAAACCTTCTCCTCTATCCTCTCAGAACATACAGCATTTACACCCTGTATCCTCCTTAATCACCCTGCACAGGGCCAAGTGTGTTTTAATCTCAATTTTTTTTTTGCTTTGAAAACTTTTCAGTGTGTTACTCAATTAACAGACATCATATAATATAAGACTAATTAAGAATAACAGCTCTCGGGTGCTACTTTATTTGCTTGTTCATTAATTTGCAATATAGTCTAAAATATTCCATTTCATCCCTTACAGGAGAGCTATACCAGCAAATGGGTACAGCGTGAACTTGCCCCCACTCCCATGGGGATTAAATAAAGTTTGTAACTTTTAATCTCACTTGGTTCTTACCATTAGGCAATTGTTTGATTTTTTTTTGGAGGAGTGGGAAGAAATCCCACTACTGTCCCTTTATCTCCCTCGGGACTTCATGGCAACCCGGCGTTAAAGTCACCTAGAACACAAGGGAAACCGCCCCATCTTCTACCTGACAAGAAGAATACAATTAAATAGATCAACAGATAGATCAACAGATAAAAGACAGAGAATAACAACAGGAAATGGGGAGGGGAGAGGTGTCACGGAATCTCCCTCAAATACCACACGGAAGGAAAGCGTACATTTTTTAAATTAACTACCTGCATTTAAATGAACACAGAAAATAATTTTGCATAGACCACTCCTAAAACACACAGCACATCAAACACAGACATCACGTGTTCAGATGCACACTTGCACTGATTTTGCACAGCTAGTGAGACTTAATCTTCATCACCGTTTGTGCCCATTTTCTAGCAAACATATGTCATCAAGAACTCAGTACAGACACTCGCAGCACCTGAAACCATTTGCAGCCCAATGGGCAAAGTCTGCAAAGTATTTTCAAAGATGTAACTTCTGAAAATATGCAGTCTTTGGCTAAACAAACAAACACACACACACACACACCTAAAAATAAGAGCTATTTTACTTCTTGACTTTGAAGATCCTATCCAGGAGTGCAGTTTATCAGAGGTACCGTAATACAAATAAAATACAACAATAATACTGAATGGCAGATGGCTTTAAGGATGTGAGAAATCGCATGCATCTGCTGCTTAGGAACGTGAAGACATCGTCATTAGATGGACGGTCCTTAAGGGTCAGAGAACAAGCAGCCTTAAAAGCAAACGAACACAACAGCTGTTGTATGTTGAACTATGAAAAGGAACAAATGCCAGAAAATAAAAAGGCACAGTTATCTAGTCTTTTTCAGAGAGTGCAAGCACGCAGGAGTTACCAGTTTTTCTTACTACTAGCGTTTGTATCTCTGACGCAGTCTTAACAAACTTCGTGTCAACTCTAAGGCGCTAGAATCAGCAGCAGATAATACAACAGGATGCCATGCTTTATTTGGCAAGAATACCGAATGATCTCTCCATCTGAGGCGTGAGAGGAGAAAGCCATATGGATAACCAGCCTGGCACTACAACAGTAAGTAAAATGAAAAGGCTATTGGAAATCTCTCACTCTGGCATGCCAGAGTCTGCCTCACCAGTCGCTCCAAATTAAACAATGAATCATGGAGTTGTATCTGTGTGCAAAACCACATTACACAAACTGCCCTCAGACTTCCAGACAGCGTGCCGCGTAACTGCACAGTGTCGTGAAGGCATGGGGCAGAGCTGGCAGGGAGCTGACCAAGGACCCCCGTTTCATTTTTTGCTCCAAAACACGATCTAAATGACCTTCCATGGCAATTCCACATCATACTGCCTTAACTTTGACCCCTGAAGAATTCCCAACTCTGTCCTAATCCTTCAAAGTCCTCCAGAACCTGTTGACTTCCTTCTGAGCAAGTTGGAGGAGCTTCATCCCAAATCAACTGGCTGCCTGCCTTTTCGCACACACCAGTCACCCCAATCATAACGATGCCACGCGCTCCCTGTTCAACAGAGCATCCTGTTCAAGTTGTCCTATTTGTTTTTCTAGAGTCAGTATGGATTTACTCCCAGCTGACTTTACAAGTTTTCATCAATAATTTAGCAACAGACTGCTCTGTTTCATCTAATCTGGTCACTAGGGGCCTTGTTCTCCACCTTATCAATTCCCTTGGTAAAAAATATCTTGCACAAAACATGTTACCTTTGCCCCCTCTTCCTTCTTTATTCCTCTCCCCCTCTAGTGCTTCCTTCACCCCTCACCTGTCTAACCTGCAACGGGTTTAGGAAGGAGTGCTGTGGCCTACCCTGAATTGTTATTACGGTCAGAACTGAATAAATGAGAAAAAAACATAGTGAAATCCCCAAAGACTCCCTTCATACTTTCAGCTGCTCCTCACTCTTGAATTATTTTAGCTGCATCCCTTTCATACAAATACCGAGAGTCTCAAGGCTCCAGTCCCCTGCTCAGCGCTTTCAACACACACCTTTCTGATGGCTGCGTTTGCAACTTCAAAACCTTTATGACTTGAACCAAATATACTAACAGCACCATACGCTTCTCCAAAAGCGAGAGCACGTGCCTCCCAAGATCAGCAGTCCCATTCCCCTCCCAAGCTACAGGACCCAAACCTAAACCCTCCTAGAAGTCTTCACACCTCTCTTCAGTCCGCTCTCCGAACCAGAGCTCACCTCTTCCTATTTCATAGCCAGGTTGCTCGCTCTCCTTGCGAAACTTCTACGGAGAGACGCCCTCCGCACCTCCAAGCCTGCAGAAGCCCCTTCCATGCCCCTGTGCTCAATTGTCTTACACCTAGCGACGCAGAAGAGGGTCCGTCTAACCCCAGGTGACCCAGGCACCTGCTCCAAGCACCCCAGTCCCGCTGGCACCGGGAGCAAAGCGCATGGCGGGGGGGGGAAACCCACACTGATCGCATTTCACGAGGATGCTTTGCGTGCGCACGCACCCGGCTCCCCACAAGCGCCCTTCTGATGCCCAGTATGGACAGACCCGCTGCCTCCCCCAGCAGCCACCCGTATGGGGGTTAGGGAGGACGAAAGGGGCTGCAAGCGTACCCCGTCCCGCTGCAGCAGGGCACCTCTGGGGCGAGAGGGGCTG